CTAAATATGTCATACGGTTTTATTAAGTGGAATTAGTCGATTATAAATGATATAAGATAAATTTTATTCCTTCAGTTTGTAAGTGAGTGAGTCAGGTGAGTGAGTGAGAGAGACAGGCGAGTGAGAGAGACAGGCGAGTGAGAGAGACAGGCGAGTGAGTGAGTCAGGTGAGCGAGTTAGGGAAGTCAGTGAGGCAGGTGAGTGAGTGAGTCAGGTAAGTGAGTGAGTCAGGTGAGCGAGTTAGTCAGGGAAGACAGTGAGTCAGGTGAGTGCCTCGTAGTTTCCAGACCATTAGTTATAATTATCTTCTGGGTGTTTCTCTTGAGTAGTGTAGCGTACGGGTTTTCCTCGGTTTTGTCTGTCTGTCTGTCTGTCTGTCCATCCGTTCATCCATCTGTGCATTCATTTGTCCGTCCGTCCGTCCGTTCATCTGTCCGTCCGTCCGTTCATCATTGGATTTTCTCACACAAATACTCGAATAAACAAACATTTTACACACACACACACACACACACACACACACACACACACACACACACACACCAACAGCTTAAACTAAACACAACTTCAACCACACCCCTTGTAACACACGGACACAGACAAGAGGAAACAAAGGTCTCTCTCTCTCTCTCTCTCTCTCTCAAGGAATAGGTGAGGGAGGTGGTCTGGGAGGTACCTGGAGGAGGAGGAGGAGGAGGGGATCAACGACCTGGCCTGGGCTGGTGGGTGTGCGTGTTTCACGGGCCGCTTGGTCCTGGTGACCGGGTAGTGGGCGGTGCAGGTCGCTCTAGGGGCCTGCCAGCCTGCTTCACTTAACCTGCTCTACCAGCTTTATGTAGACTTGTGTGTCTATTTCTGACCGGGTTTATAGTCCCTTGATGTATGTGTGTTATTAAACCATCATCCTAATTACAGTTAAACCATCATCCTCAAGAATTAAACCATCATCCTCAAGAGTTAAGCCATCATTTTCAAGAGTTAAACCACCATCAAATCATCAGAAGAGTTAAACCATCAAAAGCGTTAAACCATCATCCTCAAGAGTTAAACCATCTTCCACCAGGGTTAAACCATCATCCTCAAGAGTTGAACCACCATCCTCAAGAGTTAAACCACCATTCTCTAAGAGTTAAACCACCATCCTCAAGAGCTAAACCACCATCCTCAAGAGTTAAACCATCATTCTCTAAGAATTAAACCATCATTCTCTAAGAATTAAACCATCATTCTCTAAGAATTAAACCATCATTCCCTGAGAGTTAAAACCATCTTCCTCAAGAGTTAAACCATCATCCTCAACAGTTAAACCACCATCCTCAAGAGTTAAACCATCCTCAAGAGTTAAACCATCATCCTCTAAGAGTTAAACCACCATCCTCAAGAGTTAAACCATCACCCTCTAAGAGTTAAACCACAATCCTCAAGAGTTAAACCATCATCCTCTAAGAGTTAAACCACCATCCTCAAGAGTTAAACCACCATCCTCAAGAGTTAAACCACCATCCTCAAGAGTTAAACCACCATCCTCAAGAGTTAAACCACCATCCTCAAAAGTTAAACCATCATCCTCTAAGAGTTAAACCATCATGCTCAAGGGGTTAGTTGTGTATTAGCATCATCCTGCATCATTTATGTTATGTACTTGTTTCTATTGTTGTTTTAGGAATTAGTCAAATTAAGTCGAGAGTTATTATGAAATCACTGTAACCTGTAACTGGTGACTGTTTCTATACCTGTATTGTTGTTATTGGTGGTTACTATGAGAGGTGGTCACTAAAACGAGGTAGTCACTAAGAGAGTCAGTCACTAAAACAAGGTGGTTATTGGTCACTAAGAGAGGTGGTCGCTGGTCACTACAAAGAGGTGGTCACTAAAACGAGTTGGACACTGGTCACTACAAAGAGGTGGTCACTAAAACGAGATGGAAACTGGTCACTACAAAGAGGTGGTCACTAAAACGAGTTGGACACTGGTCACTACAAAGAGGTGGTCACTAAAACGAGTTGGACACTGGTCACTACAAAGAGGTGGTCACTAAAACGAGATGGACACTGGTCACTACAAAGAGGTGGTCACTAAAACGAGGTAGTCACTAAGAGAGTCAGTCACTAAAACAAGGTGGTTATTGGTCACTAAGAGAGGTGGTCGCTGGTCACTACAAAGAGGTGGTCACTAAAACGAGTTGGACACTGGTCACTACAAAGAGGTGGTCACTAAAACGAGTTGAACACTGGTCACTACAAAGAGGTGGTCACTAAAACGAGTTGAACACTGGTCACTACAAAGAGGTGGTCACTAAACAAGATGAACAACTGGTCACTACAAAGAGGTGGTCACTAAAACGAGTTGGACACTGGTCACTACAAAGAGGTGGTCACTAAAACGAGTTGAACACTGGTCACTACAAAGAGGTGGTCACTAAAACGAGTTGAACAGTATACAAAGGTGACCACTAGTACCAGTTTTTGTCAGGGTCGGACGGTCACACAAGCCTTAAGGAGCAGCAGCCAACCCGGGCCGGTGAGCGCTCGCCAGGTGAACCCGGGAGACAATTACCTGTACTAACGGGGGGTAGGGGGGCGAGCACGTGCATACACAGGCCTTCACCTCCCACCTGCCACACACTGAAATGCCACCTCCTCCTTCCTCCTTCTACTCCTGTTGTTCCTCCTTCCTCCTCCTGTTGCCCCCCTCTCCTTCTTCCCTCCTCTGTTGTCTCCTCCTCCTCTTATTGTCCCCTCTCCCCCCCTCCTTCCCTCCTCCCCGTTATCCCCCTTCTCCCCTCCTCCCTGTGATCCCCTTCTCTTCCTGTTGTGTCCCCTTTCCTTCCTTCCTTCTCCAGTTGTCCTCCTCCTCCTGTTGCCCCCCCTCTCCTTCCTCCTCCTCCTGTTGTCCCCTCCTCCTCATTGTGTCCCCCTTCCTCTCCTGGTGTTCCCTCAACTTCCCTCCCTCCTCTGTGTCCCTCCCCCTCCTTCTTCCTCCTCTTGTTGTCCCCCTATCCCCCCTCCTTCCTACTCCTGTTGCCCCTCCTGTTGCCCCCACCTCCCTTTCCTCTTATTTGTCCCCTTCTTCTCTTGTTGTCCCCCTTCTCTTCCTGTTGCACCCCCTTCTCCCTCTTCCCCTGTTCCCCTCCTCCTCCTCCTCCTGTAGTCCCCTCCTTCCTCCTGTTGTTCCCTTCCTCCTCCTGCCCCCTCCTCCTACACCCCTTCCTCCTGTCCCTTTTGTTATTCTTCCTCTTCGTTCTACACAAAACTAAAATAAAATAATTAAAAATGGCCGCCAATGGAAGTTTTAACCATCAATATCAACAAACTTTTAAAGCTTCATTTCTACTCACTTAAAAAGATACATTTGATCAAGAAAAATCAAACAATTCGACCCACAAAAACAAACAAAACGTCAAAATCTAACTTCAAATCCAAAATAGCCGCCAGTCGGATCTTTTAATCTCAGCATCACCAAAATCAACAAAGTAGTTATTATAAGGTTCACCAATACCTAACTCTAAGGTCAATTTACTGAATCACCATCAAACGATTTGGTCTGGAAGGGAAGGGGGGGGAGGGATATACAGTAAATGCAAATATGAATTCAAGATGGCAGGCAATTGGTGTATCAACCCGAGCTCAAGGTTAAACTACATCCAGAACAAGTCAAGAGGATGTTGGAACTGGATAGCACATACGAGGTGATGTCGAATGGTAACAGATGGATGATGCAGTAGGTAGGATAAACAATAACACATAATTATCGACCCAAATGATGTAGTAAATATATACAGAGAAGGGAAGGATAAGAGTAGGAATGAGAGGAGAAGGATGTAGAGGAGGATAAGGCAGTGTGTCTAGGAGAGAAGTGAGGGTGAGGTGAGGAAAACTCTCTCTCTCTCTCTCTCTCTCTCTCTCTCTCTCTCTCTCTCACACACACACACACTTCCAGCTAACTTAAGTGGGATAAAATAAGTGACAGGACAACGAACAGATACAGACAGATGGACGGGGCCCAGACAGGTGTTTCAGAACGTCTTGTGAATAAATGATTTAATATAACATGGTAGGTGTAATGATAAATGAGAAACGTTTGACATTCTCTCAGTAAACATGAGAAGAATACCTAACCTAACCTAACCTAACCTAACCTAAACCTAACCTAACCTAAACCTAACCTAACCTAAACCTAAACCTAAACCTAACCTAACTACCTGGGTCCAGCATCACAAAACAAAGATTCATAAGACACATCTTCCTCGTAGTTAAAGATGAATAAACACTCAAAAAAAAGTACCTTCACGATTTTGTATTCGACAATATGACACAACGGACGAAGGATATTGACAACCCTACCGAGACAACAGGAGTCACAGTGTTCATTGTGGAATTCATCGATCACCCCGAGTACAGATACTTATTGGTAATGTGTTCAAATGCATAAAAATATTTCACTTACACAAACCTAAAAAAAAAATATCACTACATATTTCTCAGATGGAAATATAACGAATAACAACACGGAGGAGGGAAGAAAGGGAAGTCAAAAGAAAGAAGAGGATAGAAGAATGAAGTAAAGAATAAAATGAAGAAAATCGAACAGACAAGAACGTAAGAAAGTCATAAGAGAATACAGGACACACAAACAAAATAGAAGAGAAGATAAGAATAAAATGAGAGATAAGAGAAGAAGAAGAATTACAAGAGAAGACAAAACACAAATCAGAAATCAAAAGAATCAAAACAAATGAAGAGTAACAAGACAAAGGGCAAAAAGGAAAGTCACAATAATCAAAACAAAACGATAACTAAGACAATGAAAAATCGAGAATCAAAACAAAAACGATAATCAAAACAAAACAATATCCTTCAGTAACGTAAAGAGAACAAGCAGTAGAAGAAAAACGAAGACAAAAGTGGTAACTACTTCTACGCCTGGCAGCACGGGGGTAGCGGTGGCAACTTTATCCAACTAAGTACGACGACTGACAAACTTGGGAGGAGGGAGTTCACTCAGTTACTCAGTCTCAGTGTCTTGTCGGACGGGCTAGTGAGAGGGTCTATCTATACCACTTTTCCCAATATTCCTCCCCTTATTTCTGTGTTTATCCAAGACGATCAATTTAACCCATCCCCTCATAATATCCCCCCCATCTTTGGAATATACGTATATATAATCCATAAGTGCATACGAGGATAATATAAAAGTGAACGTGACTGCAGTTTTATCAGGATTTAAAGTGTATCAACAACACAAGATGTATATAAAATGATCCAACCGAGTTACTGTAAGTGGCAACATTATTTTTTGGGGGGCATTTATATATTTTTTAAGCTTAAATTTAATATGGGTTACTAAGTGTTTAATGTTTACGTAAGATCCTTGGAACTGACCTTGTATTCCAGTCTTGCAAGTAAGTGTGTCTGTGTCTGTCCCCTGCCGCTTGCAACCAGTGTTATTGCACCCGTTGATATTGCAATGCTCCGCTGACTTAATATTTATTTGTCATTTATTTTCGCTAATATCCTGTTATATGTAATAATTTGCTACTTGTGTTATGGTGTTAAATAATCCGTCTGTATGTCTTTGCTCTACTTAAATGATTCCTAGTGTGTGTGTAGGTCCGTGTTGTGTTGCACTCTCCTTGTTGCACACTTATTTCACTTTCCGTATTGCACTCTTTCTTAATGCACTCGCTTTCACTTATTGCAATGCGTCCTTATTACTCTCTCTCTCTCTCTCTCTCTCTCATTACATTCTTCAATTTATTACACACTCAGTTCACTCGCGTTTCTCAGCTCACCCGTGTATGTTAATCTCTCAACTTTCGTTTCTCAGTTCAATCGTGTATATTGTCACAGCTCACTCGTGTATATTACTGTATCTTAACTCACTCTCGTTTCTCAGTTAACTCGTGTATATTAATGTGTCTCAGCTCACTCGCATCTCTCAGCTCACTCGCTTTTCTCAGCTCACTCGCATCTCTCAGCTCACTCGCAACTCTCAGCTCACTCGCATCTCTCAGCTCACTCGCAACTCTCAGCTCACTCGCATTTCTCAGCTCACCCTGTATCTCAATGTTATAAGTTCAGTTTCTTTTTTCTCCTTGAGGTGAGCCAGTGACTTGGCTTTCCAGGACGTGTTTGCTTCCTATCAGTGTGTGTGTGTGTGTGTGTGTGTGTGTGTGTGTGTGTGTGTGTTACCGATTTTCTCTTTAAATACTGTAGTTTAATCTTTAGTTACCGAATACTGCCTCTTATTAAATACTTGACCTAACTTACCCTTAACCTAACTTAACCTAACCTATCTCAACCTAACATAACTTAACACTAACCTAACCTAACCAATCACAACCAAACCTAATCTAACCTAACCTAACCTAATCTAACTTAACCTAACCTATCACTAACCTAACCCAACCTAACCCAACCCAACCCAACCTAACCCAACCCAACCTAACCTAACCTAACCCCTTAACAAATACTACCATTAAATACATCTCTCTTATTTAATTCCAATTTAATCTCTCAATTGACCCCATTACACCTCAATTCCCTCCAATTAATTATTATGAGTTACTATTTACCGAACCAATTAAGTATATAAGTAATTTAAAATACTTACAAGACACTTATTGACACTACAGCGAAAGGAACTTAAATTTTGTGAAAGTATATGTTAAATTTCCGTAGATATTATGTAGCGTGTATGGTTAGGTTAGGTTTAGGTTAGGTTAGGTTAGGTTAGGTTAGGTTAGGTTTAGGTTAGGTTTAGGTTAGGGTTAGGTTAGGTTAGGTTTAGGTTAGGGTTAGGTTTAGGTTAGGTTTAGGTTTAGGTTTAGGTTTTAAGTGCATCTGTCATATATAGTCATTTTACTTCTATAATTCTCTGTTTAAAGATAGATAGATAAGTGAGTGTGTGTATGTGTAAGTGTCTTCATGTATGTGCGTATCTGTACGTGTCTATCTGTGTGTATGTTTAAGAAAGTGCGTGTTCATGTGTGTATGTATGTGCGTATCTGTACGTGTCTATCTGTGTGTATGTTTAAGAAAGTGCGTGTTCATGTGTGTATGTATGTGCGTATCTGTACGTGTCTATCTGTGTGTATGTTTAAGAAAGTGCGTGTTCATGTGTGTATGTATGTGCGTATCTGTACGTGTCTATCTGTGTGTATGTTTAAGAAAGTGCGTGTTCATGTGTGTATGTATGTGCGTATCTGTACGTGTCTATCTGTGTGTATGTTTAAGAAAGTGCGTGTTCATGTGTGTGTGTGTGTGTGTATGTGCGTATCTGTGTGAATGTGTGTATCCATGCGTGTGTTTAAATTAATAAGATCGAAACCATTTTACTTCAACAATCACACAACGAAGACAACAAACTCTCACTTTCACAAACACACACACACACACACACAAACACACACACACACAAACACACACACACAAACACACACACAAACAAACACACACACACACACACACAAACACACACACACACAAACACACACACACAAACACACACACAAACACACACAAACACACACAAACACACACACAAACACACACACAACACACACACAAACACACACATTACTATTAGGTAACCAGTACAGTAATTTAAAACATAATTGGAACGTTGATAACAATTAAGACACGATTACTGTAATTAGTAGAACAATCACAACTACGCTACTACTACTACGACGATTGTGATAATTATAATAACCTGGAAATATTGGTCACACTGTTACGTTTATTGTGGTGATGATGGTGTTGCCAGAATAGGTAGACATCCCCCCCCCAAGGCATTCTCAGTATTGCGCCACCACATGATAGAACACACTACAACACAATACGACACAACTTGATAGAACACAAAACACGACACGATTTGATAGAACACACTACAACACAATACGACACAACTTGATAGAACACAAAACACGACACGATTTGATAGAACACACTACAACACAATACGACACAACTTGATAGAACACATTACAACACAACACAACACAAAACGCTATAACTCCGGATAATATGGATGAAAAGTTGTGATTATTGAACACATTTGAGATATTATTATAGTACATCTATACACAAAGTTTGGTTAAAAATCGGTTGATATTTATACAAGTTATTGTGCTGACAAATATACGGACGGACGGACGGACGGACGAACAGCTGAAGCAACCTTGAGATACTGGTAACACTGTAGTGCTAATTGTAACTATTTTAACAATCTGGCTATGTTGGCTACACTGCTACTCTGATCTGGCTATGTTGGCTACACTGCTACTCTGATCTGGCTATGTTGGCTACACTGCTACTCTGATCTGGCTATGTTGGCTACACTGCTACTCTGATCTGGCTATGTTGGCTACACTGCTACTCTGATCTGGCTATGTTGGCTACACTGCTACTCTGATCTGGCTATGTTGGCTACACTGCTACTCTGATCTGGCTATGTTGGCTACACTGCTACTCTGATCTGGCTATGTTGGCTACACTGCTACTCTGATCTGGCTATGTTATTTTACTGTTGTGGTGATAATTCCGATAATCTATGATAATTATAACACACTGAAGATATAATCGACTGTTACTCTACTGTTGTGGTGATAATTCCGATAAGTAAAGATATAATCGACTCTAGTATACTCTTGTGGTGATAACTGGTGATAATTCAATAACCTTACACCACACTCTTGAACAATTATCACCAGACATCTTTATCTACTTGTGTGTCAACGACGAGAGAGAGAGAGTGTGTGTGTGTGTGTTAGAACAAGTAGAACAGCATCATGCGTCATAACCAGATCATGAACGAGGTTGTACAAGGGTGAACAAGAACAGTTAACACTCCATAAGCATATATTTGGGATCCTCTCGACCTCCTAACCCCTAACCCTACTTCCCTAACCTGCCTATCACCCTTAGCCTACTCCTTAACCTAGCAACACAGTCTAACCTAACCTGCCTAACCTACTTGAAACTTACCAACAACCTGCCTGATCTAGCAACCTGATCACAACCTAACCCAACTAACCTAACCCAGCCTTAACCTAACCTGCAACCTCTAGCAACACATCTGCCTTACCCTTAACTCTACTGCCTTAACTAACCCAGCCTTAACTAACTAAATCTCAACTAACTACTGTAACCTATCTAACCTTAACCTATTAGAATACAAGTCCCACGTAGCTGTGTGGGCGTAGCCATTCCTTTCAACTACAATCGCCTAAGATAGTCGCGTAACCTTAAAAATAATAGCGTGGTAGCCTATCCCTGAAGACTACAATAGCCTCGGTCTTTAGATGGTGGTCAGGTAGCCTAAAATAAAAAGTAGCCTCGCCCTGTATAAGCGTGGTAGCCCTAGCCCAAAATCATCAGGGGGACTCTCTCTCTCAAAAGGTGAATTCTTTATAACATGGGTAAGTTGCTTGTATGGTATTACGTTATCGTGGGTTCAGGAGCTGTGGTGGGCTGCCAGTCATCATGGGCTCTTTATATGATTAATGGGTTCGGATATCATGGGGTCTAAGTTATAATGGGTTCTTTACATTATACTGGGGGGGTCATGGGTTTAGCTACTATGAGGGCTCGGGTATTATAAGGAGATCGTAAGTCATGGGTTTAAGTAAGAACACTATAAGAATATCATAGGACATGGGTTCAGGTACTGTCATGGGTCATGGGTTTAGCTGCTATAAGAAAATCGTAGGTCATGGGTTCAGGTACTATGGAGATATCATAAATCATGGGTCTAGGTAAAGTGATGAAATCATGGGTCATGGGTTTAGCTCCTTTGGGGAAATCATAAATCATACAGTTCAGGTAAAAGTGATGAAACCGTGGGCCGTGGGTTCAGGTTACACACACGCGCTGGTTCTAGGTAGGGGCGGGGGCAGGTTAGGTGACGGGGAACTAGCAAGTCGATCCTAGTGAAGTATGAGTCAGCCACCTCCTGGAGGGTGGGAGGAGGAGAAGGGAGGAGGAAGAGGTTACAACAGTGATTCTTCCCTACCTCCCTCCCCTCATTCACCACAAGGATGGTGCAGGCGTGGAGGAGGGATCAATCTGCAGGTGATGTAAGGCTTCCTGTTGCCACGCCTGATAGACCAATGGGAAAATTGTCAAAGTCCAAGTAAATAATACCTATTTATCTATCTATCTATTTAGCAGTATCTATCAGTATCTATCTATCTATCTATTTATCTATTTTCTTACAGGGACACACACACACCATTCTGAAACCAGGAGATGTGATGGCCAAGAATTTATC